ATCACCTGCCACCTTTCATCTCATAGTTCTACTTTAAGATATTGCGTTCTCTTAGTACACCGTGTATGTGTTAGAGATGACTCTCAGCTACTACCACAACAAATTTGAATTCAATTCAGTTTATTTATATCGCTCCAAGTCACAACAGAAGTCGTCTCAGAGTAGAGCACTGTACAAAAACATCCGCCTTCATAAAAAAGGCCAATTCGTAAAAGTTCTCTTATCTAAGGAAGTCAGCCAGTTGTGTTGAATCTTCACTTCATCAGTCTCCAATCCTGAGCAAGCACAAAGGTGACAGTGGAAGGAAAAACTCCCTTTGAACAGGAAGAAACCTCCAGCAGAAACAGGCTCAGGACGAGCGGCCATCTGCTTTGACCAACTGGGGTTTGAGAGGAACAGGAAGGAGAAACAATAAAACACAGAATGACAGGTCCAGGTGTACTTTCTATAGGAAGAAAGACAAAAAAACACATGTTAAGGATAGAAATAGTTACAAATACAGATAGAGTAGAGCAAGTAAAAACAGCAGCAGAGTGAGGAAATGTGGTCAGTTTGTCCTCCTGAAGTCTAAGCCTATAGCAGCATTACTAAAGGATAGCTCAGGAAACACAAGCCAACTCTAAATATAGGGTTTATCAAAAAGGAAAGACTTGAGCCTAATCTTAAAAATTGACTATGTCAGCTTCACGGACGAAAACTGGAAGTTGGTTCCACAAGAGAGGAGCCTGATAACTGAAAGCTCTGCCTCCCATTTTACTTTTGGAAACTCTAGGAACCACAAGTAAACCTGCAGTCTGAGAGTGAAGTGCTCTTTTAGGAAAATATGGAACAATAAGATCTGTTTGATATGATTTCAGCTCATTATCTGTAACATAGACTGAGAGGTCATTCCTGTGTTTGCTAAGGTCAGTTAACTGCTGTGGCCATCTTGAACTGGATTGACTCCAAAAGTGAATCAGCTGTAGATGTACATTAAATTATTTTGCAAATGTTTATAAATCATTTTCACTATTGAGACCCGTTTTTCTTCTGTACGTTTACGTAACTCCTTCCGCAAATTTTTTTTTGCCATTTCGGCATTTCGTATGTTATGTGCATGTTGTTGAAAGCGTTCAGCTCATTCAGGAAATTCCTGCTGTGACTTTTGGAATTAGTGAAATTTTAACTTTTTGAAGTATTTAGTTTTGTCGGCCATGTTTTTCTCATTGAAAATGAATGGAGCTCTATTCACATTCTTTAAATCATATTCTGTTTAAAATCTTTTTCTTCTCGTTTAATTTTTGTTCCATTTCTGCTTTTGTCAGCGTTCTTTAGCTCCTTTTAGCTTCTTTCTGCTAATTTCAGTGTTTTGTGCTTTTCCTCCATATTTTCAGATGAATTGCTGCTTATTTTAGCTGTTTTGTTCCATGTTTTTTAATCTAACTTCAGCTTTTTTTTGTTTTCCTTTTGTCTCTTTTCTGCTAATTCAGGCTTTTTATACTCCTTTTAGCCTTCTTTTGTGCTAATTTCAGCACATTTCTGCTACTTTTAGCTCATTTCCTCTAATTTCAGCAACTTTTTTTAATAATTTCACCTCTTTTGTGCTTCTTTCAGCTTCTTTCTACTTTTCAGCTATTGGTGTAATTCAAGTAAACAAATCCATTAATCATACAAATTGTACAGTTAAATCTACTTCAGTGATTTATCTGCGGCATCTTTACATATCTTTAAACTGCAGTTTTCTTTTGCTGGAGCATCACTGCATATTCCAAAAATATATTATGTTTTGGCTTTTGGTTTTGTTGTGCCACCCCAGGACTTTCAATGATGGTTACTCCATTAAAACATTTCTAGATGCACCACTGCACTGGTATTACACCTGGCTAAGCATTCTTGTGCTTTTCTAGAGTTTCAGGGTTGTCGTTGGCTTCGTAGTAGCATATGAAGGTCTCAAAACTTGGCACGGTAAAAGTGGAAGTCCGGTACATTCCTCTTTACTTTCATCTGTCTCTTTTAAACTGCTTGGCCAAAAAAAAAAAAAGGCATTTTGTATTACAGATGATAACATGAATATTTGAATGTTGAAACATTTCAAACATTAAATGAATTACCAAAACAAAACATAAGTTTCTCAATGAGATAGTTGTTTCCAGAGCGGTCCAAGGAAAAAGTTGTGTAACATTTTAACTGTTCTGACCAACTCTGGCAAACTGCCAGGCCGTTCACGTTTACGTTTTGTTATTTTGTCACAGAGGTCAAAACTCAGAAGCTCAGAATTTGTTCAGTGGCAGAAAATGTCCCTCCCATCTAACGCTTAATCTATGACTTGTGACTCACGCAGCAAGTTCACATTTCCAGCACTAATTCTTGCAACATAACCACAGACACACGCACCCAATCTCTGCCTGAGCATTTTAACACTGTTACACCCCTGACTACTTCCAAGAACTGGAGACACTCACTGCTTTATAAAACCCACTTCCTTGTGTCTCCTGCTGCTCCTCAAAGGATTTATTTTACACGTTTGGTAACAGGCGGTTTCACTCTTTCCAAGACTAACAGAATAATTTGAGCTTTCAGGACTGTGTAAAAGGTTTTAAATCACCCATAATTTCTTCCTATTTTGCTTCCAAGAAGGCCAGATTTTCTTGTATTATTTTTCAAGAGAGAGAGGGAGTGAATAACTAAGTTACCAGCTGGCTAGCTAGCAATAAAGTTTTGAGCTAGTTGAAAACTTTTGAGTTACCAGCAAGCACATTACTAGTTAGCTAGCAGCACTGTATTTTAGCCAGTCATTAGCTAGTGGTAACAAAGTCATGGACTAACCAGTTACTAATTAGATAGCACTGTATTAGTCATTAGTTATGAACTAACTAGTTACTACCATAGTTAGTTAGCTAGCACCATATTTTGGACAGTCATTTAGTTAGTAGCAAACTACTTAATTTTGTAGTACTTGCACCGTTATATTATTCTACCATGTTGTTGTTTACTATATTTCTTTTGGACCTTGTAAATATTAT